CCCTCCCCACCCCCCACACTCCGATACTGATACCCCCTCGCCCTCGGCCTCTCGGACACCCCCTCGGGAAACTCCCTCTCATACATCGCCCCAAACGCCCTCACCGCCTCCGCGAACTTTTCTTCCCCGCCCTGCTGGCCCAGCACCGCGCGCACCCCGGCGAAGAAGGACGCCATCACCGCGTGGTTGTGCACCTGCAGCAGCGTCCACCCCAGCATCTCGCGCGCGGCCAGCAGGTGGTGGATGTAGGCGCGGTGGTGGGTGCGGCAGGCGTAGCAGGGGCAGGTGGGGGTGAGGGGGAGCAGGGAGGTGGCGTGGGGCGCGGCGGAGAGGTCGATTGCGAGGGGTTGCGGGGGGGTGGGTGAGGTTTCTCCGGGTGAGGTTGGTGGGGGTGGGAAGGTGAAGGAGAGGGCTAGGCCGGCGTCGGAGATGGTGTTGAGGAAGGGGAGGGCGAAGACGTCGATGCCGAGGGCGATTTGGCGGAGGATGTGGTGCGGTGTGGGGGGGTTGGAGAGCGAGAGCCGCGGAAGGGGGAGCAGGGCTGCGCAGTGCTCGGCGAGGTCGGGGAGGAGGTCTGCGTCGTGGACGGCGAGCCCTGAGAGTTGGCCTGTTGGGAGGTAATCCTCGGCGAGACGGGAGATGTACTCCCATTGCATGGAGTAGGAGACGGGGAGGATAGGGGCGAAGGTGGCGGTTGTTCGCGATGATGCGTCGGCGGTGATGGTGGCTGATTCGGATAACGAGGCGAACCACTCGACTATCCACTCGTCTGTGCGCTCGGCCATCCGCAGGGCGCGCTTTGAGTTAGGGGCAATGGCGCTGTTGGTGAGGTCGGCTAGTGGGATGGCGATGTCGGGTTTGAGGGCCTTGACGGCGGAGAGGTATTCTTTGAGGGTGAGGTCTTGGAAGCCAGTTGAGGTGAAGACGGAGATGGAGGCGTTGGTGTTGCCGGCAGGGGAAGACACAGCCGGAATTCGGCGAGCACCTAGGACTGTGGTGACGGACTGCGGCATGGCGGTGAAGCTGTGCAACCGGGTGTTGTTATTTGGTGTTTTGGGAGACTCGTAAATAGGGGGCGTCCTCTTAGAGTATCGCTGAGGTCGCTCGATGACTGGGATTCGTTAGCTTGATTGCATGAATTTATTCGAGTACCAAGATGTCAACTCACAATCTTCCAACGCCATATATGCTCCGGTAGTTTGCAGGTGTTTTCCCACGTTGTCGGGAGTGACATGTGGCACGGTACCCCGAGAGGTTATCCCGATGAAGTTGGGTGTGTCGATGGGCAGTCTCCCTGCAAAAGCGATACGGCCAACACGTGCAGCGACGCCATCTTTAAGGGCGCCCTTAAAGACCTCAAATCTCATGGCTGCCGAGTCCTGGTTGTGAGTATCAACTGTCATGTTGTGATGTACAGCTGTGTACCCGCCCCTTGTTGCCCTGGACTCCCACAATTCAGGGGTTCACTGAATCTCTTGAGTGCAGAATTTAGACAGGCTTTGGGCCTTGCCAAGTTGCCAGTGTCAGTCAGTGTCTGGTTTCGGGCAGCCAAGACTCCACCTCGTTCTCCAGAAACTGATTGCCGTGGCAAAAAATATCTGAAACAATACAAGGAACAAGGATGCGTATCTCTCCGGGAAGTTCTGTGAACAGAATTTGTTTCTCTCTTTGTGATCGTTTTTTCTTCCTACGGTTGAGTCTCGATTTTTGGACTTTGAGTCTTGGGAGCAATCGGGTTGCCAAGAGAGTGGTAACTGCCGTTCGAGTAGACCCATAATAATTGGCTGTATCGGGGCTTGCCTCCAAAAGCTGACTTCCCGCCTTGCCGGTTCTGGTAAAGTCCCACCGTTCCTGTGCCCCGCCAAGGAACCCGCCCGGCAGGGCTGGTGAATCAGCCCCTCAGGTACGAGGTTTGACAGGGTTTAGCCGCCGTTGGATTGGGTGCTGCCCGCCTCTCGCGTCTTGGTCGCTGTCTTCTGCATCAAGTCCTCCCGCCAATTCAATGCACCTTTCCATTTTCCAATGTGATATTGTTTCCCCTCCTCTCCCCAGAGGAGTGCTGCTCCTTGCTCGTTCTCCTTCCACATGATATTTGAGTATTGTTTTGTTTGACACGCCAATCCCTCTTCTGAAGTCCCCGCAGCGCATCACCGAGCCATCCGAGATCACAAGCCAATTCGATTCAATTCACCTCGTTTGCGTTCCTTCCGCCCATCATGGGCGATAATTCCGCCCCGGTCCACACCCAAACCCGGGATGGAGAGCGCCATGATGTCGCTGACTCCGATACCTCCGTGACCATGGTCAGCAACGACCATCCCGATGCCCCGATTCGAGACACCCCGCTGGTCGAGGACCTTGAACAGGAAAGCAGACCGCCAACCCCCCGTTTCATACAGGATGAGGGGTCTTGGAAGCGCTTCAAATGGGTGCCGTACCCTGTCCGCCGTGTCATCAAGGCCACCGCAAAGTGGGCTCGCGGCCCATCCACTCCCCATCGCTATCGCATCGAACCGCTCTTTCCCCAAGTGCAACACGCTCCTATCGTGATCCTCGACAAGTACCTGCCCCGAAAACTCCACAGAGGCTTTGCCGTGTTTGGTTTCTTTGGGATATGGCTCCTCACCTTTGCCCTGGTCATGCGCGAGGGCCTGATAGCGGCCGAGATCCCGGAGTGGGGGACGCCCACCCAGATCGGCTGCGGATCGACCTACTGGACGTCCGGGAACGGGTGTGGCGTGGACGGCGTGGACTGTCGGCCGTTCAGTGATGGCGGATACCCGTTCCGATGCCCGGCGAACTGTGCGAGCTATCAGGTATTGAACCCGCGCGCGGTGGGAGACCAAGAGATCATCTACCAGCCACTCGTCATCGGCGGCCCGCCCGAGCCAAGCAATACGACGGCAGTGTATCGGGGCGATTCGCACATATGCGGCTCCGCGATACACGCAGGTGTCATATCTAACACTGACGGTGGGTGCGGCGTGGTTAAGTTGATCGGACGAAATACCGGGTTCAACAGCTCGACGAGGAACGGTATCACAAGTATCGGCTTTGACTCGTACTTCCCACTGTCGTTCACTTTTGAGCAGGACGTCAAGTGCGACGCCCGTGACGTGGTCTGGTCACTGCTCACCATCTCAGTCGTCTTCACGGCCGTCTTTTCACTCTTGTGTCACTTCGCCGGCGCTCTTCTTCTTCCCCATTTTCACCGTCTTGTACTGGACGGTCGGCATGGCTACGGACACTCCCAACCACCGCGACATACCCTCGCTTTTCTCGCTCGAGATTGGTAGATTCCTGCCCGCCATGTTCGTCGCATGGGTCATGTATGACAAAATGGGTATCAGGCGGACGCTCAAAGGCCTCACGGCGCAGGTGGAGAAGACCGTCGTCTGGCTCGGCGCTGCCTGGGTGGGCGCCCTGACCAACTACACGCTGGACTTCATCCCCATCCAAAGGCTCACAGCACGCGACCTCGGACGACAGCCCGGCGCACAGGCCGCTCTCTCCATCATCATCATCGTCCTCGTGGCCATCGCCGCCGCACAGGTCTGGTTCTTCCGGCAAGAAGCCCGCCTCCTCCGCAACCTGCGACTCTACGCCCTTTTCATTCTCGGCATCATCATCTGCGTCTCCATCCCCAACTTCAACCTGCGCATTCACCACTACATCCTCGCCCTCCTCCTGCTCCCGGGTACGGCCATCCAGATCCGCCCCTCCCTCCTCTACCAGGGCCTGCTGATCGGCCTGTTCATCAACGGCATCGCCCGCTGGGGCTTCGATCCCGTCCTGCAGACCGACTACGAGCTCCGCGCCGACGCCCCGATGGAATCGCCGCTGCCGTCCATCCACCACCCCGTCGTCGCCGGGAACACCAGCATCACCTTCTCGTGGGACCCGCCGCCGGGGTCCTACGACGGCCTCAGCGTGCTGGTGAACGACGTGGAGCGGTTCAGGAAGTATTTTTACGAGGGCGTCAGCGAGGTCACGAATGTGACGTGGGTGAGGGACCAGGATCTGGTGGTGAACGAGTATTTTCGGTTTGCGTGGATGCAGGGCAGTCAGAGGGGGGATTATACGCGCGCGGGGACGTGGAATGAGAAGGGGGAGTGGTTGGAGATGGCACCTGGTCCGTCGCGAATGAGGGCGAGGGATGGGGGTGAGGATGTGGGCGTATAAAGCGTGTTAGGGTTTGCTTGGAGCGGGCGTTGGGTCATCTTGGGTTGGGTAGGTAGAGATTTGGATTTTTTCTGGTGTTATCCTGGCGTGGCGGGTATATATTTTTATGGGTCAGACCCGACGTGGTCAGCTACCTCGGTAGACGTTACAAACAGACGTGTACTCGACCTTCAACTTGCCCTTCCTGGCTATTTCCGTTCACATTTCCTCGTGATCATTTTGGCTACAGCTCGGCCGCCGTGTCCGTGATGTCAATCATGATCTTTCCCAGCAACTCCGTCATCAACAGCGTTATAAACATTATATTGCTCTCAGGGAAAAGATCCAGATGGAATGCATGGAATAGTGTGCGTATGGTCGAATGCGTTAGACGACCGAGACATTCAAGGAACCGACGGAACCGGCCCCACCCGGAACACCGGCCGCCAAGACGGAGAGCCGACCAGACCCACAGTCTCGCAACCTCTCCGGAGCATCATCGTGATCAAAACTTGCCCCAAGGCATGACACACGGAGCAAAAAGACCAGCAGACAACCAAAAATCACCACTAAAAATGCCGCCCACGCGCATTCCCACCGAAGAAGACTTCG